CACTGTCAGGTTTCTTTCCCTGTCAAAACCCCTAAGTTTCACCCAGACTGCCTCTGCCGAATCCCCATCTGTGCTGCATTCTGTCTCACTGCATCCTATCCCTTCCCTGACGTATCAAGCCACGCCCCCACCCCTCTTTCCCTTCCTGTCCTTTCTAAAAAGGTGATACCCTTCCATGTTCACAAAGGTGATACCCTTCTAGGTTCTATGTATTGTTGGCACTGACCGGCAGCTGTGGCCCCGCAGGGCTCCCGGGAGGCTTTTCTCGTGCCCTGAGCTGGCAGGACCATGCCATGGACTCTGCAGAGGAAGCAGCTGCTCTGCCGCCTGTGCTCGCAGTTCCTGAGTCCGTTGGCGCAGCCACCAGCAGCTGCTCTTAAGCGTCCCCGTGTTGCTCTGGAGGGATGACCCGCTCGGGCTTCGCAGTGCAGTAGGTCAGATTCTGCTTAAGGCACTTTGATTTTAAGAACAACCTGCAAATTTGGATCTTCGCAAGCCCTGAACAGAGCACGGGCAAAGCCGGCCCAGCAATTTTCTTTAAAAATCCCAGCTAAATTTAGCTTCCTGCACAAGCAACCTTTTATACTTTATGTGTTCCCAGCCCTGGCTGCCTATTTGTTTGTTCTGGATGTTTCAGGGGCTGAAATATTCTTAAATACCCCAAGTGCCAGTTCACTGGCCAGAGAGAAATGCGTGAAAATGGAGGGAAGGCTCTGCTTCCCTCAGTCGGCTGCCTGTGCTCTGGAGCCCTCCAGGTGCCTTGGACTGTTGTGGGAGTTGCAGTGGAGCCCACCCGGAGGGCCCCAGGCTGGGAGAGGCTGCCCTAAATGCCTCGACTCTCCTGCCGTGGTTTGGGATGTTAGCATGGCCAGTGCAGGTGGTGCCAGAGAGGGGTTATCTGGGGAGGTTCAAAAGTTGCTGCCAAATGCAGCAGCCAAGCCTCTACCTGGGACCCAGAGGCCTGAACGTGCCAGACCAGTTCTGACCCAGGTGCGGTGGCTGCCTGTATCCTTCCCGTCCCATTTCAGGGTGCTGGTTTTAACCTACGAAGCCCTGCATGGCTTGGCGCCACCCTCCCCGGTGGAGCACCCTCCAAGTCACAGCCCTCTTGGACCCCACACAGCCTCTCAGGCCTTCCTCCCAGTGCCCACTCAGAAGGAGGCTCGGCGGGGGGGGGGGTTGTTCTCTGGTGCTCCTCCACCTGTGGAGCAGCCTCCCCACTGAGACTCTCCTGACCTTGGCCTGTCAGCGTTGGGTGCCAGATTAAGATAACTTTTTCTGCCAAGGTCTTCAAAGACTCACTGGGCTACTCAGGGGCTTGAGGGGTGACTCCTCCCAGGGGCTTTTTTAGGGTCATTCTTCGCTGTTCCTTTTTACCTGTTAAAAATGTTTAAATGTGCATTGGAGCCCAGTAACCCCAACAAGAGCATTTGGGTTAAGGAATAAACGGAACATGATAGTTGGGGTCTATGGGCCAACCATCCAACCAAGGAGAAGGTGGGCATGGCACTTCGGTTAAGCAGAGTGCCTGCACGGCAAGGGAGGGTGATGTGGTGGTGGTGGTGGGGGGGGCTTCGATTATCCTGGTATCTGTAGGGAGGCAATTTCTGCCAAAAGTGGCCGCTCCAAGAAATTGTCATGCATGGTTGATAACTTTATTCTGCAAAAAGTGGAGGAAGGAACTAGAGCAGGGTCCTCAAACTATGGCCCATAGGCCAGATCTGGCCTGTCATGCTGATCTATCTGGCCTGCCTTAGAGCTTTTGGACTCGCTTGGAGAAAACGATTTCCGAGCAAGACCAAAAGCTCTGAGCTGGCACAGGCATTCTCAGTGGGGAGACGGCTGCGATCGCGCCCGCCTTTCCTGCATGAGTGTGCCCGCCACCACCACCTTTCAACTGGCCCCCTGTTGAAAAAGTTTGAGGAGCCCTGAACCAGAGGATCAGCTATCCTGGAATTAATCCCAAGTAGTAGGGATAACTTAATGGATGCCGTGGAATTGTGGAGCCTGTGAGGGAGAGTGGCCCCTACCTACTGGAGTTCTTTGCTTTTCTGTTTTGTTGGGGTCTCTGCACGTGCGGGCGCCGTGCCGGAACGGGGCCTCTCGTCAGGAGGATTTTCACACTGGGCTTGTCCCTGCGGGAGCTCCCCCCTCCCCAGCTCCCACCATTCCTCCCAGTTCTTTTCTTTGTGGGTGCCTCGAGACTTGCCCCTCTGGCATCTTTTGTACTTCCTTACAGTTTTTCTTCAGCCTTTGTCGCATTCTCTTTCCCAACCCATTCTCTCACTAGCTGGTTTTTCTTTTTTGAAAACGCTGCTTTATCCCTAGTTTTCTGATATGTGCATCCATGCCTCCCACGCGCACCCCATCCTCGTTCTCTTTGGAACTCTCCCTCTTCTCCTGATGGTGCTCCAGGTGCCTTTTGGGAAGTGTGTCTGCTGTGGAATTCACCCTCCCACAGACGAGCGCTCGCTGTACTGCCTCTGCCCCAGCGTGGAGAGGGCGCGGAGGCCACCCGCACTGCCAGGCGCTCGCGCCACAGGCCCAGGGGAATGTGGGAGCTGCGCCCGCATGGCTGTCGGCTCGGCTGCAGCTGCGAAGCCCAAGTACCTGCCTGGCTTGCAGGCCACTCCACCTTCCCACCCTCTGTTGGGGCTCTGGGGTTCCACCAGCCTCCCAATCCGTGCTGTCCATGCCTGGGCGCCAGGGCAAGGCCCACCAGGCATAGGAGCTGGCCAGGAAGGCCGGGAAGGCGGAGCAGGCGTGGATGGCCAAGCGCAAGAGGTGGCCTGGGCACCGTTCTCCACAGGGCCATCTGCCCTTGCCGGCTCCATGTTGGCCTGTCCTGTGGATGGAGCTGTGGGGATGCAAGGAAGATCGGGGGGCCCCTGCCCCGCTGTCCCCCTGCCCCGGCCACCACCAGCCAGTGGTCTCTCCATCATCTACCGTGTTCTCCCTGCACTGGGAGCAGCCAGCTCTGAGGCCTCTGCCGGGCTCAGCACCAGCAGCTGTCCCCCTCCCCAGATCGCTGGCTCCTTCCCTGCCTTGTCTCTCTCCTCCAGCCATTGGCCGAGGGGGCGATCCACATCCTCGCCACTGATCCAGGCCTGGGAGGCCTACAGGGGGCCGATGCCGCCATTCTGCTGCCTCTCTGAGGAGAGTGGCCCAGTTGGCCTGGTGCCATTGCCGGAGGGCTGTTACCAGCCCAAGCTGCACAGGGCCCCAGTCCCTGCCGCCTGCCGCACCACCGTGCTGCCCTCTGTTCCAACTCGCCCCCGCGTGTGACCTGCTGATTTCTCGCCAGGTGAGCTCACAGCACATGGACCAGGACCCCCCCGAGACCTCGGCCACTCCTCCAAGCGAGTGCTCCGGGCGGCAGCGACCCTTGGGCTGACGGTGGAACCGCAGGCCTGGGCGGGTGGTGGACTCTCCCACACGGGAGGCATTCAGCAGGACGGCCACTGACAGGGACTCATCCACTTGGAGTCCTGCGCTGGGCAGGGAGTTGGACTCCCTTCCAGCAGCACTGCTCTGCGATTTACAGTCTTCTTGCTGATTTTCAGCGTCTGGTTTTTATGGATTGTTGTAAACTGCCCAGAGAGCTTCAGCAGGGGGCGGTGTGGAAATGAAACGGACGGTGTGGGCGCTCTTGCCCTGCTTCCCCGGACGCGTGCGTATGGAAGGGCCCAGCAGCTGCAGCCGCCTCTTGTGGTGACAGGCTCTCGGGGCACTTCCCACTTTCTCTCCGGCTTTCTTTCCCTTCTCTTTTCATAAAGGACGAGTTCCGGAAGCGCTTCTGCTTGTGCGGGCTTTTGTGCCTGGGGGAGGGGGACTGGGTAGCAGGGCCTTGCCGTGGGTGTCCTCTTCCTGCGTGGAGCTGTGGCGGTGCAGTTGGTGGTGGTGCCACGGCTGGGCCGCGCCCTCCTTTTGGGGCTGGGCTGGTTGCGCTTGCAGGCCAAAGCTGCTACAGGCCTCACTGCAAGGCCGTTGGGTCGGGGGCTCTCCTGCACTGACAAAATTTGCAGTTGTTTGGCGCATGTCCAGCAACCTTCTGCAGCCAGAAGGGTGGGCTGCGAGGGATTGCCTGGAGGGGCTGGCCTTGCAGTCGGGAGGGTCCAGGTTGGAGAAGGAGGCTTTCCAGTGGGGAAAGTCCTTGCAACATCCATGAGGCAGCCTGGCAGTTTCATCCTCGGCAGCAGGACTGCGGTGGAGAGTATCGCCGCAGTACACCCGTTTTGTGGCACTCCTGCATGCCCGCGGCTGCCACCGGTGCCCTTGGCGCTTGTGGCGCTGCCGTCTGCAGGCAGCCTCTCTCGCGGCCAGGTGGGGGTGAGCAGCCAGCGGCTGCCTTCCATAACGTGATGCGCAGAACTGGGATTGGTGTGTGTTACAGGCAACCGGTTCCTCACATCCTAAAGCAGATAACTAGATGCATTTGAAGCTCACGAGACAGTGTACAAACAATAAAACTAAATCTGTGAGAAATCAAACGGCCTTTTTGAGGAGCACCTTGTAACATCAGGCGCAGCAGCAAAAAATTCCTTGAATCTTTCAAAAGCAGGGAACCAGAAAGAGCAGCTGCTGCACACTTTTGGAAATAGATCGCCCTTTCCGCATTGTGTACTGTTCGGGTAGCTGTTTACAATCAATTTAGGTCATGCTTTAAATCATTATCCAGTAAGACTAGATTTAAATCATGGTTTTCTACATGATTCACACACATGCCTGCCTTACCCGTAGGTAGAGGAACTTGACTGAAATATTCCCAGACTGGGGCTCTTTTACGGCCTGCTGCCATTACAGATTTTTTCTTCCAGGAAAAGAACAGGATGATGAACTTCAGGTCAGAAGTGTGAGAAGTGGCCTCAACCACCTCCCATGAAATCCATCCCATTCTCTAGGGGTTCCTGACTCTCAGAGATTATCTTCTAACACTTAACCTGAAACCTAGTTCCTGGAATGTTGTTTTATTGAAACGCAGCCTGCCCTTCAGGCATTAGTCCAATTAGTGCTTTGAAACAAACTTATCACCTTTCAGAATCCTCTGGTCAAACTAGGATTCTGATTCTTTTAATTATACAACTCAGAGGTGGCAAATGGTTGTTAACCACACACAAAAACATAAACACAAACCCAGGCAGAACCTGTCACAGTGGCATCTGCCCTTTCTTGCTGTTAAGTTATGGCCTGCTTACGCTCGAGTCCAATGCAATCAATTCTTGCAGGGAGAGGCATTATGCACCCCTCCCCTTTTTTTTCTCCACAAAGTGTTCCAGTTTTCCTTCCAGGCCTCACAAGCACCAGCTGCCTGTGGTTTTAGAAATAAATCAGTATCGGTCCTCCTCATTAGCTTTGTCTCTACCTCCCCTCCAATACCTTCTACCAAAAATCTCAGTCCAGCTAGGAGTTCTCTCCCTGCTGAGTTACAAATTTCCTCCCCCAGTACAAAATCACACCACACAATGGTTGCACCATATTCATATTTTACCTGAGCAGGTTCAAATATTTTTGCTTTTACCAGATTACCTCCCACTCCTTGAGCTATCAATTCATCAATTCCCCTTTTCCCAATTTCATTCCATCTGGAATCATATTCTTTGTGGAGCAGGTAGCTCCAGAGCCTACCATAAATGCCATGCCTTTCCCAAATGGTCCCACTTTCAAATTTATCAAAGGTTCCCAGTGGGTCCTCCTATAAGGAGACCCCTGACCTTCCTAATTTTGTCCATATTCATGAGAGAAATCAACCTCTCCTCTCCCCTCAGCTCACTCCTGTTTAAAGTGCCCCACCTAGATTCCTATAGAGGCTGCTTGTAACCAACAATCAGCATAGTCAGATTCTTCTTGAGAGAAAGGGTCCTTATTATTTACATAAATGTTTAGGGCCTGACATAACCAGCCCTCATCTGCCCCAAATCGGAGCCAGAATATTGCTGGGGGTCGAATACTTTCTTTTGTCCAAACAAAACAACAGTAATTAATCATCTTTTCCCTACTTTTTCCAGGGGTGTAGGGAAGTCCTTCCCAATGTTTCAACATCCGTTCCAAGGGACTGTTGGGAGGAATTTGGGGTAATTTGCCCCCGTTCTTGCCCTCCTCGGGCTTGGCTTTGGATCCTGGGGATCCCATGCCTGTCTTTCAGATCTCTTAGTCCCTAATAGGTCAGGAGCGGAACCTGTTCTCGTTCCTAGTGGACTTAACACTCGCTAGTGACCCTCAGTAATTTTCCTGAGCCTTCCAGTCAGCCAGCCAATGCATCTGCCTCGTCCTTCTCCAGCTGCCCTCCTTGCAGAGGATGGGACCCGCAGGCCCAGGCTCCACACTCGCTTCGTACTGCTTTGCGCGTCACAATCACTCTCTCTCAAGCCTCACGCAGGCGGTCCTCCCTCCTTCCCCAGAGGTTTCCTCCCCGCTGTTCACCACTGAGGGAGTACTGGGCGTCCCACTCGCTTCTTCCCTTGGTCCGTGCACAGAGTTGCTGGCGACCACGGCGTTGGCTCCCATCCGTTGGTCCCACCAACAGAGCTCCTTCCCGGCTGCTTCTCTTTGTCCCCGTATTTCGTCCAAAATTTTAAACAGAGCTGCGCCTAGGTGGTCCCTCCACCTGACCTAGGCCGCTGAAATCGGCAGGACACGTCTCCCTGGTGCAGGCTGGAGAAATACTCACTCCGGATGAGCCATTATCCCGGACGAACCCCCAGTTGTAAGGAATGGAATCCGAACAATGATGATACAGGAGGCAAAGTACCAAGCAGCAACCATTCAATACGCTCTGGCCAGACCGGCCACTCACCCCGGAGGTGGTGCACTGGGGAGCAGTTAGCACAGCCTCTTATTGCCTACTTCACACGCAAAGTCCCTGCCTCCTTCCTCCCCTTGGGGGGATACTGGGAGTTCACACTCTTCCCGTCCGCCTTCATCATACCACTCCTTGGTATGTTACCGCCACCTGCTCATACGTCCCATGTTCATGCTAATAACCCTCTGAGTCATAGCAGGAGGCACCACTAATATGCATTAGCTTGTTATGCAGCCATACCTTGGATTCGAAGTACAAAAGTTTAATGCCATGTCTACCGATTATTAATATGCATCCTATTAGTTTGTTTTAGTCACAATAGCTTTATTATCATTAAGTGATCTGTATAGCTTTACCCGTTCTAGTCCGTTAATCACAATACCTTTATTAATCACTAAGTGATCCATAGCTTTACCTGTTCTAGTTTGTTAGTCACAGTAATCTTCTGCTTCTCACACAAGCACAAAAAGATCCAAAGTGATCCAAAAGCTCTTTTCCTGTGGCGTATTCTGTTCATAAGGCTTTGCTTTCACTTTTACCGCTTGCCCTTCCCTCCTCACATGTAACTTCTTGTGCAGAAGACCAGCAACCTTCTTCTGTTCACTTAATTTTTTGAAACTTGGCTCGCAAGAGGCAAGGGGTTGATTCATTGTACATAGATTTGCAAAGGAACAATGGGACTGAGGTCTTTTTCTCAACTCTGTATGTTTATTTTTAACATATTTGCTGTGAAGAAGTAGCATGTGATCTCTCCAGGCACAAATTCACAGTTTTGACAACTGTAAAAGCAAACATCTGTGACAATATCTTCTAGATAGAAAAAATGCCTAGTGATCTTACAAAAACCTCTGGAAGAGCATGCTATTGTGAATGGATCAATATAATTAATTGACCAAAAAATTTAAACACTGCATGAATAACAGCCCCATGCTACATAATTAAAAATGAATCCTTATTTCATGATTAATAACCTTTGGACTACAATGTATCCTAAATAGAAAACTATATTTAGATAGTTTTTTCTCAAAAAACATTTTAATTTAAAAATACAATTTAAATAAAAAACTGATTTAAATTTAAAAATCTGATTTAAAATTCAAAGATCTGTTTATTATTGTATGATAGCCACACTGGTTTGGAGTTTGAATTATTCATTAATGTCAGTGCACAGAAAAGGTTTATGAGGTGTATTTCATCCTGGTTTACACATTACTGATAAATGATAATGGATAATACATTTCTTTTACTGATTTTGCCAATTCCGCAGCTCATTTGAAAGGACTGTATGCTAGTGTTTGTGAAATAAATAGTTTGGGTTGTTTATTGTTATAATGATGGACTTCTTGTAATTAATGTTCAAGAAGGTTCTTTTATTTATTGCTGTGGACCATCCAGATCTTTGGCTATAGGCTGAAAATAGAAACATAGAAACAGAGTGAGTCGGAAGGGACCTCCTGGGCCATCTAGTCTGACCCCTGGCTCCAGCCGGCTCCGCTAACAACATGCCCACCATGTGTATGTCCAGCCTTTCTTTGAACACCCAAACCGATGGGGCCTCAACGACCTCCCATGGAAGCCCATTCCAAACCCTCGGGGTCCCAACTGTCAGGAAGTGCTTCCTGGCATCCAAATGGAACCTTGGTTCCCTGAGCTTTGCTCCGTTGGAGTGCGTCCTGCCTTCCTCTGCAGGGGAGAACAGGTCTCTACCCATCTCCATGTGACATGGAGGCAACATATCCCCTCTGAGTCTCCTCTTCTCCAGGCTAAAAAGGCCCAGTTCCCTCAGTCTCGCCTCATACCCCATCCCCTGCAAACCGGCCACCATCCTTGTGGCACTTTGCTGCATGGATTCCAGCCTGGCTGTATCCTTCCTGTAACAAAGGGCTCCCCAGAGAGGTTCGCCTAGTGCCGTTGTTATTTGTTTTTCGGCACCAGATTAAGACCTTTTTATTTCAGCGATATTTTAATAAATCTTAATACGGTTTTTTCTATGTTTTTAATTGCAGCCAGTGTGAGCCGGGGATTTTATTTATTTCATGTTGAAAGCTGTCCTGAGGCTTTTTGCAATTTAAGACGGCATGTAAATACATACATACATACATAAATACATACTGAACACAATACTCCAGTTGCGGGCGCACAGAGTTGTGTAGAGTGGTAGTAGTACCTCTTTTGATCTAGAAGCCACACTTCTGGCTATGCAATCAAGGGTGGTGTTCGCCATCTTGGCCACCGCATCACACTGCTGGCTCATGTTCAGCCTGCAGTCAACCAGCACCCCGAGGTCTCTTTCATGAGCGCTGCTCTCCAGCCACTTGTCCCCTAACCTGTACTTATGACACCTATTCCTATGCTCCTCCGCCTCCCCACCTTACTAACTAGAGGTATCGTCAAGGCTTACGCCTCCAAAACCTCCCTTTTGAGTGCCATCCACCCCTCCTCAACTCCCTTGCCTTCCAGTAACCTATCCCAGGAGACTTTCCCCAGTCTGGCCTTCAGTTGGCCAGAGTTGGCCCTCTTGAAGTCCCAGCTTCTAGTGCTCGACCTGTTGCCCATCCGCAGTCCCCTGATCTCAAAGCAAAGGATGGAGTGATCACTCGCATCCAGAGCTCCCCTAATCTGTACTTCATCTATCAGCTCCTCCCTATTGGTCAAGACCTCTGTGTGGAAAACCCTCCCTCTATAGTGTCTAGGAAGCGACGTGACCTGGCTGTCACTGCCGAGTGAGTCTCCCAAGTAATATCTGGGAGATTGAAATCTCCCATAATTACTGTGTCTCTCCCCCAAGATATCAGAATCTGGTCTGTCAGGCCATCATCCAGGGTCTCAAGTTGACCTGGAGGGCGATAACATACCCCCACTGTCAGGCCCCTTCCCTGTCAAACCCCCTAAGTTTCACCCAGACTGCCTCTGCCTGACATATAAAGCTACACCCCCCCTTTCCATCCTGTCCTTTCTAAACAGGTGATTCCCCTCTATGTTTACATTCCATTCTTGCCTTTCATCCCACCAAGTTTCCGTGATCCCCACCAGATTATACCCTCCTATTCCCCGGAGAGCTTCAAACTCTTCCTGCTTATTACCCATGCTCCTAGCATTGGTGTACATGCACCTCAACTCTTTCCCACCACTTCCTTTCCTTGGAGTTCCCAGCCTCCTCCTTCCTCCCATCCTCCCTGATACCTGGCCCCTCTCTGTAGGAGTCCTGTCAGTCCCTGCATTACCTCTAACATCCTGGTCCCAGAGCTCTGATCCTCTCCCCACACTTGTCCAGTGCAGACACGTTTCTGGGGGGCCTGAACCTCCCCCCACCCGGCTCAGTTAAAAGTCTTCTGGACAAAGCTCGCCAGAGCATTTCTGAAGGAACTTTTCCCATCCTCGTGAGGTGAACCAGGTCTTAAAATTTTTAAGGCTTCTAACAAATCTAGA